TGTTGCAGTTAATCAGCATTATGAGGTGTGTTTTTGTAAACCCAGTCATTGAAAAGATTTTTGTTTTTAGCTGAAAATCACTACAACACTAGAGACTATATTTGAGGCGGCTTAGCTTGAGTGATGCTGCTGCAGGCCTTAAATACTATTTACAAATGACATTGCCAAAATCCATGTCAGTATTAGTTCCAACATTTAAGCAATGCTGTTACACATACACCATCATCCAGAGAGACAGACTGCTCTTAAGTAGAGTAATCCTTTCCATCAAAAACACGGTCACAAAGTACCTGGCCTGGAGCCATCTCATTTGAGCTTGTGAAGCACAAGACTGTAGGCCTATTAGGGGATGCTCCAGATAGATGATGTTCAAATCACACAGATGTTTACTGTGGATGTATGTATGTCAGAGGACAGGGTCTTTGTGGTGATGTGCTGTACTAGGGGCAGTGAAATGAGCTTCGAAATATTCAAAACCGGGACTGAGCTAGTTGGCATTCTCTCAGTTTTTAGCCATTAGCGACTTTGTCTTTATGTTCTTTCATGCTCCAGCAAAGTACAAGATGACACTCTGAATTGGTTTGATGTACGGCAGCAAATTTTAACAAAAAGTATACAATTAATTGTGTGAAGGTTGTCTAACAAAGTAATAGTAGCAGGATCTAATCTGCAAGCATGAGGAGGACAGAAGACAGTGCCAGACTGGGGCAGAGTAAAGTAATCACTGCGAATAAATGTGAAATAATATTTCTATTCTACTTTAAATAAATATTCTAATATGAAACAATATTAATAAATAGCTGCCTTTTAGAACTGCAAATAGCATATAGCCATTTGGAGATTATAAGACAATGGTCCTGTGGACACAAACATGTCTCTGTGCTCATATGATTGACATTCGAATAAGATATTTAATAAACAACTTAATAAAAAGGCTTCAGCCAAGATGCCAATTGTTCTGTACCCTGCAGGCCTGTTCAGCAATATATCCACAACACGAAAGTGGCAATTACCTTCTGACTGTGGTAGGTGGGCCACCGTTTTGGTCCTCGCCCATCATCTGAGGAAAATTAGTTATCTAACTGACCTTCAAGGTACTCTTAAAAGATACTCTACAAAAATGACATAGACATCATATCGCAGAGAAACAACCTTTTCAAAATCTTTGCCGCAGAAAAGGCAAGCGACACAAATCTATCATTTTGATCTGAGCTCAGGTCCATGCTCCTCAGCGCTGCAGCAGTAGAGTCTAATGGACAAAACGCCAGTCTCTTTGATACAGTAACAGCATGCTAAGTGGAGGGGCTGATAACACAGGTACTTCATTGACCTGTGAACTGGTGCTCCGCTCATCACATCTGCTTAACTCCATGAAGATATCACAGTGTCCTCACTGATAAAAATGCAGTTGCTTTTAAGGCACTAAAGGCAAGAAAGATGATTTAAATGTGAATCACGTACAGAGGAGAGGAAAACAAGAAGAGACAGACAAAACAGACGGCTTGCAGAGGGAGAAGACTTTTTCTTCTGTCAAACTCGTGGAGTGCAGTTCAACAAAGAGTGAAAGGAAACACACTGCATGCAAAGAAATCTGCAACAAGTGTAGGATGGCGAGAAGCTTTTGGGATTATTTTGTGATCTGAAGAGATTTTTTTTTACTTTGAGACAACCACACAGGTGAACTGAATTCAGATGTGTGACATATCTTCAGATCAAACATTGTGTTCTTAAAGTCAGCTGCTTATAAAATGATTTTACAGCATGAAAAAAGTGGGATAGAAGGTTGAATCTACTCCAATACATCGATATATGTGCCCCAGACTGAAGAACCAAAGGAAGAGTTTCTGATGTCAGGGATAAAACCGGTTGCTTGAATGAACATGGGATCTGATTCCATTCTGTAGGTCAATGCCTTTAGGGAGAGCAGGCTGCCTTTGCCTCAGGCAGCTCAAAGCTCGAACTTCTCACTGGGTCAGTTAGGATGTTACAGCTCAGTTAAAGGATGTGGTAGTAATCATTAATATAAAACATTTGGAAATATCTGGTATGTGTATTTACAAGAGTATACAGCCAAGGTTGCGGAGTGAGTCAATAAAAATACTGCAGGCACAGCAGAACATTGAGCTAACTGCTAACATGCTAACAATGACAATATTGTAATGTATAATGATGATCATGTTTACCATCTTAGTTTAGCATGTTAGCAATAATATAAGCTAGCCTAGAGATTGAGCTGTTCAGTTCATCTTTGGTCTGGTATACATATCTAAACAAAATGTCATAGCAATCTATACAAAGTATAACTTAAAGCCAAAAATAAACATCAGCTTCATGGTGTCGCTATGCCAAAGGATCAACAGTGAGTAGGATTCATCCTCTTAAGACCAAAACAATAACAATCGTTGTTGAGACATATTATGTGGTGGACCGCCAGACATTAGCATGATTTTGCCATCCAGAGACACATGCAGCTAGCATGACTAAAAACTAGATTAATAACCTCAATTTAGTTTGAAGTCAACACATTAACATTTTATTTGTCTTCTAAATCTAAGTCAGTGTGCATGTTTACAAAATGTAACTAAAAGTTGGTTGTGTGTCATGTTCTTGCTGTACCGCCATGATGATAATTCCAAAATTAATGAAGCTCTAAAAGCTGACATGTTGAGATTATTTATTTGCTTAAAGAGCAACAACAAGAAATATGCCTTGAAGGGGAGGGAACATGAGGTATTAGATAATAACACGGCAGTTTTTTTCTAGTTTTTCTCTGTCTCCTCCCACGGGGGTCAAGCTGGACTCGTGTGAGGCCGAGGGCTGAGAAAATAGCTTTGTCTCTTTCACTATATAGACGAACAAAAGACAGAACCCTGATTGTTCCTCATGTGCTGAGAGGAGGGGGGCGTATGATGGAGCAGTGGGAGGGGCCCATGTCTAATTGTGCGTGTGCATCTGTGAAAGGGGGGCAGGGCATCTCTTGAATATTCCATATGATGAACAAGCGTCTGCCCTTCTCATACAAAACAGAAGCGTTGAATGACAGACAACAACAGAGGAGCATTTCCCCCGCCTGGTAGACCTAAATGGGACAACAAGCTGTTCGTTCTCTCACTTTCACTGAATGATGAAAATATAAATTGATCATAAGAAAAGCCATTTTTCTAATGATCAAACACTGATCTTGTATTATTGTTATTTGCTAAATATAATAACAAAAACATAAATTTATATTATATTTGATGCTATGAACCAAGATAATTCAAAAGAAATTAGGAATAGACAATAAGTAATCAATATTTTTGATGCAAGACACCATACTGTCTTATTATATATATTGTAAGTGTCTTTTGCTGGTTTAGTGGCTGCTTATAGTACAATTATGTCATTTTTCAGAGCTTGCCCAACGGTTCTGTTGTTAAATGTTCTGCTTTTCCCATCTAGCCAATATACCCACATTACTGAATACTTTTGTAAATATTTGTTGAAAGCACCAAAAGTTATGCCTATAATATCGTTGCAAATTGATATTGGGGTATTTGATCAGAAAGATTGTGCTTTTGATCTTCTCCACATAGCCCAGCTCTAGAACAAATATCCTTGTGAAAGTGTTTACTTTTAATTGAGTGTGTTTTCATGCAGTTGCAGTGAGACCTTAGAGGGAGGGAAAAGAAATATTCAAAAGGACACACACTGCAGAGATGCTTTCTCCTCACAATCACTGGGCTAATTGTTCTGGTTCATTACAGCATGTTAATAGGATTTTGTTTGTGTTAACTCAAATCTCTCTTACACAAATATCACTCTATCAATGAACATGTACAATGTTATGCCCTCAAATTGTACATGTCCTCACACACTTGCACACATATTGCTTGTATGTCAACAGGCTAACAATCTTAAAAGATAAAAATAGATTTCACTGACAAAAAATGTGATAAAAAGGAAAAGGGCAAACAAAAGCATGTTGTTTACTACTGGAAATGTTAAGCTTATTGATTCTAAATGCTTGGGGATAAAGACTGAAAAATATTCCCATAATCTTCCAAATCTATTTTCCCAATCTAAAAACACTGGCTGCATTGTGTCCAAATCAGCTCAGAAAACAGTATAAAACAATGATTTTCAGATGATGCAACAATAACTAAAGTGAAGCTAATTTTAATAATAAAAACAACTGACCAGGAAAAGCAAATAATAGGGGAACTGGGCAATTTCTTATTTTTCACAAGTAAAACCTTATTGTGGTGTAATTATGACTTTCACAGACCATTTTAAATCCCTGTGGGATGCTTGGTAGAAATGCATGTAATCTCTTGTGATTAATCTACTGCTATCACTGAGCATAACGGACACAGCAAGGTTACATGGTCAACACAAACGTGCAGACACTAGGACTATATTCTGTGTACATTTGAGAGATTCATTTAAAACCTTCCAGTGAAATGTACAGAATATAGCTGGATAAATGGCTTTCTCATTTAAAAAGAGTTGGGACTGTTTGAGAAAAACAAACACAGTATCACGTGTGAAAACCGTGGGTGCAGGACCAGCATGACTAACACATGCACAGATGTTCAACTCATGAGCACGTCTATTTCCCCAGAAGGCGATGCTTTGACCCTCAAGCTCTGCATCACAAAACAGCTTCAACAATTTGCCATTTTATCTTCAATACCAGATACCGTATTAAAAGAAAGGAAACGGGAAATTAAACTACTACATAACGACTTATGAGGATAAAGATTAGTGATGTCAGACAATTTTATCATGATCATATAACCTCATAAACATTATGTGAAAACACAAAGCCAACCACAATGAGTAGTTCAACGGTAACTATAAATACAAGCCCATAAAATGAAGCTCTGAATACAATATAAGCTCTTTGTTGTTTTAACCTACTTTTGATAAGAGCTGCAAAAGGGCTTTTATGCTGGATTGTGTTCAGTGTATTCACACAATTAGGGCTTCCACAAGAGTTTTGTTCAGTACCAACTTACTATAATGGGGGCAGTGCTGAAACCAATCTTCCTCTTCTGAGGGATGTCGTCTTTGTTTTCATGTGGTAGACCGGGAATCTCCGTCAGATCACATCCCGGGTCGTAGACAATATCCTCATCGTCTCCGTAGAGGTCATCCTCAGGATCAGTGCAGCTTTCCCCCCAGCCCTGGTAACAGGCATCCCCGTCTGCGTTAAAAATCACCCGCTCATTCCCAACGTATTCCTCATCGGGGTCTTCCACCTGGTCCTTGGGAGATTCAGAGGGTTTTTCTTCTCTTGAACCATCCCCATCCTCCTGGCTTTCCACAGCAGCTGTATTTGGGGTTGGCAATGGCTCAGGGGAAGCATCTTCAGAACCTTTTTCAGTAATCAGGGCATTGTCTGTAGGTTTTGAAGTGTTGGACTCCCCGAAGTCATCAGTATATTTTATTTTTTCTAAAGGTGTCTCCTCTTCTTCGCATGAACCATTGGCCTGGCTTCCATTGGTGGTGACCCCTGAAAGACGCTGTCTGCCTCCGTTTGTAGTCTCAGACTTGTCTGCTTTGTCCTGGACTTTTTCCTCATGTGGTTCTGGTTTCAGCACTGAAGTCCCTGTTGCAGGACTGGGGCTCAGGATGTCATCAGCGGACAGGGATGAAGGAAACTTTCCCCCTGTCCTGCTCCGGTAGCTTCCATGTACTGGAGATTGTCTTGAATCATCTTCACTGACATCACCTCCATGGCGGTTGAAATTGTCTGGCGAGTAGAGGGCCCGTTTGCTGACTCCTTTGTGGTGCGAACCATGGTTGTGTTGGTCAGCATTTTCAAAAACAGCACTCAGTTGACTGACAGTTGGCGAGGACACCTCTGTTCTGGAGCAAAGTGAGTCCAAGGAGTCTGTGCTGCCTCGATTAGACCTGGAACCTCGCCAGTCATCCAGATGCTCATGGGAACCTCGTTTATCACGCCCGGATGCAAAGACTGGGGATTGGGACTGGTCCCGTGACTGCTGCTCAAACAGCTTCCTGGTTTCGGAGAACTTGGCTCCAGACACTCCAACCTTGTCAGCTGATAAGGAATGCTGGAGTTTTATGACTGATCCATCGGCCTTGTTGATGAAGTTGGTGGGTTTGACCATCTTTTGAGGTGATAAATCATCACTAGCCTTGGCTGGTACATCTGTGGCCATTTGCATGAACATGTCCTTAATGCGACTGACATGGCCGCCATACTGCCGGCCCCTTGGCTGTTTCACCCGTTCTTGGTCTTTGGGCTTGGAGTTTCTTTCTACCCGAGGCTGATCGAAGGACTTCTTGAGTGCCTGAAACTCAGCTCGGTAGGCATTTCGGTGGGGGGAGGCACTCCGGAGGCAGGTCCTTTCCCCCGAGGCCTCCGTCTTCAGCATGATGATGTCTTTGGATTCAGAGGGGGTGTCAGCATCGCCGTGGCCTCATTACAATCTGGAAGTGAGGAGTCTAATTTGAACTACCGCTGTGCAGCCTAATCAGATCCACTTGATATTATCGTATTTAGGCCCATTCACACCTGCAGGGATAAAAAGAGAAGTTATAAAGATAAAAAGATACATTTTAAACATCCACACAGTAATGGCAAATACACTTAAAGTTTTCATCAAAATTATGATTACAAAGCTTAAAAGAGATAATTTTCACATTACATCAATAACACTATTTAGAAACATGGGAGGCAGAGGGCTGTTGGGTTTGATTTATAAAAGCTCTTAGTAGAAGTGGACTAGTTATGAAATACTACGAGACTCTAAAAGCCCTCTGATTATGTTGTCTTTTCAGAAATGCTGCACTGTTTACCTTCTCAAATCAATAAGTACTGTAGACCTCAGTGTTTGAGCACTTCATGTTTAAACTGGTGCTATGCTGCAAGACATATTGTTGTTTTCTCCTTCTCTCTTTCTCTCTCCCAATCCCTCTGTTTTCCATAGTAAGCTGTGACCCTTTTACGCTGATATATCCCACAGCTCTCTAGACCATCACTGACATTATGCTGCTTCTTGCTAAATGCCATCCCTCACACAAAAGCATCGCATGGTAGTTTAAACCTTTACTGCAACGAGAAAATGCTGTTGAATGCAACATAAGTGTGTTGATTGGTCAAAAAATAAAACATTTCATGAACTGAGAGATTTGCAGTTCACCCATCATTACAATATTATTGCATTAGTAGTGGGCTAGTATAGTAGTTAAATATTCTATACCTACAGCTACTAAATCTTTAATCATGTTTGAAAATGCATACCATAAAGAGGATGATAAAAATGTGGCACAAAAGATCATCCGGGACACAGAGTATCCATTAATCTCAGCAGTGCTGAATGGTATGAATGCAGCAGCAGTGACTGAAGCTTTAATGTCCCGGTTCAATATTCATTATCCACATTGCTGGACCCTTGCTGGTCAACGATTACACTATGTTAAATCCCTGTGCAATAAACAACCATTTAAACTTGAGTAACATCCTGTGCTGGAGTATATCGCACGGAGATAAATAAAGTTAGAGATGAAAGATGGAATCGAGGCTTTAACATTGTGACAGAGGGATCAGACAAACAGCCAGCCGCTCATCATCCACACCGCGCACAACATGACAGCTCAGGTTTCTGACAGTTAAACATGTATCGATGCACATTTCCCCCCCCTGTGCATGTATGCATGGGTAAAAATACTAATGCCTAACCCTTCTCTGTGATTACAAAAACACTAAGTTAACTGTTAACCGCAAACCACAGCGGTGGTGCTTCAATGTTACAAAAACAAAAGAGTCAGACTTACATCCATGGCTCCGGCTTCGTTTGACGCTTGATACAAACAAACTGTAATCCAGAGGCTAAACTCGTTGGGAAGATGGATGCTGTTGTTGCAAAACCTTTCGACAAAAACATATCTCTCCCACGCTCGTAAATTGTCCGATATGGATTTGCCACTACAGAAAGGTTTGGACACACTACAGCCGCTACAACGCCATTGCAGGCAGTGGGCGATGCTGCCAGTTGCTCTGTAGGGGTGGCGATGAGATTTGGCAGCTCGTCTCACGGAGAGCTGCACTGTGCCAGGGTCTGCAGGGGCTGGTCCGATGTACGCCTGCAGTGTGGAAAAGTAAACATACTTAGCTCTACGGTAGACGGTGATTTGCAAAGGTAAAGCCTCATGTGACAGGTGCTTAAACCTGAACTGCTGCAATGGTTTGGTCCGATAATCTGCCGCGCGGAGGGGGTTACAGTGAGCTGCAGTCTGCATAAATACCAGCACACAGCAACACTGTAACTTTACTCTTCATGCTGCCTCACTGTTCATCAGTGGGGTTTGGGTGGGGTACATGGGGTCATGGACCATGGGTGTTCAAATGATGGTGTTTCAAAATGTGGACCACCCGGGGGCCTATAGGAGTTTAAAGGGGGGTCGAGCCAGCTAAAGTTATTTTAAAAATAATGCTAATTCCATCCACATGTAATTAAATGAAAGCCAATGCATATTAAAGTTGGCTACTGAACACACAAAACTAAATCTAAAAGATATATCAGAAGATGCTTTGGGTTCTAAAGTGTGCAGTCTCTTTCCTGTAATGAAGCTGTTTGCATTAATATTTTAGCAGTCTTTTAATGAAGATCATCAGAGCTTAAGAAGTCTAGCTTGGTAGCACAAGAGTCAACAGAAACCGCCATAAGCACGAGACTGAATTCATGTGATAAATCCTTTATACAGTCTATGGAGAAATCCTTATAATAAAGAAAGCTTTGTCAACAACCAAATGTGTGATTTTTCAGCACTAAGTTATATAATTGATTATATTTTATTAAGAATGCTGCATTCTTGCATATTTTTGAAACAACACATGACAAGTAAAATAAAAAATTACATTTTTCGATCAAAGTGCGATTCAGTTGACACATTTGTGACTTTTTTGTTGCCTTCTCAAATCCCTTCAAATAAATCTTATTTATAAACATGTGCAGTCAAATAATCTGCCAAAATATGCGATTAACATTTTTATGTAATAATTGTAATCCATAATAAACTCAATGAACACTGCATATTTGCAGTAGGCAACTGTTTTTCACTTGTACCTATGACCCTTCAATTTTCCGTCCCAACATCTTGAATTTAGAGAGTCAAATATAATATGAAAGAGTGTCATTGGGTTTATATATCTACAAAAACAGATTTACGAGCTACAGTTTGTCCCTGTTTAGCCACAGCCCCTTTCATGGGGGAGAGCAGGCATATTGCATCTTGCTTTTCAGCAAAAAAAAGAAAGAAAAATAAATCAGGAAAATAACATTTTAAATTGAAAATGTAGTACTGAAGAATATTCTGAAACATAATTGGAGCAAAAATCAATCCATATCAGTACACGGTAATTCACTTCAGATGGCGGATACATGTTGCCGTCTTTGCCTAGTGGTAAATGCTAGTCTTCATTACATCTTAATGCAGTTATTGACTTACAGTGATTGTTGTGATACGTTCATACCCAGTCCAATCGGCAAAGACATCTGTGAAGATGTTGCTAAGCAACCTAAAAATAATCTTAAGGGGATAAAAGGGAGGGTGAGAGAACATAACAGCCTCGCACTGCAGAGCATGGAGGATGGTTAGCATCATGTTTATCACCAGAGAGGAAGCCATGAATCTAGAGCCAAACATGAATTTATTAAATAGCAGCCACTGTGGGGGAAGGAGTGGTTCAGTCTGTAGGGGATTGGACTTTGGACCGAAGGGTTGCCGGTTCACGTCCCCAATCGGACCAAAAAGATATGAAGTGTGGACTGGTACTGGAGAGGGGCCAGTTCACCTCCTGGGCCACTGCCGAAGTGCCCTTGAGCAAGGCACCTAACTGCTCACTGAAGTGCTCCGCTCTGACCTCTCAACTGCATGTGTGCATATAACTGTGTCAGTATTTGTAATGTGTCTGTATTTGTATACATGTTCTTAAAAGTGTGTACTGTGTGTACTGTATGACATGTATAAAAACGCATGTGTGTGTACGACAGGGTGGAAACTGAATTTCCCCCTCGGGGGATTAATAAGGTCCATCTTCTCTTCTCTTCTTTCAGGATGTTTGCCAGAATTTGGGTCCTTTTCTGCATGATTAATGTGCTCTCTGAGTCTCGTACTGATAGCTGACATCGAGGGGGCATGAGGGGTGAATTAAGGGTCCCGCGGGCCTGACTTGGAGCCAAGGGGCCAAAAACATGACCATCTGTCTGCTAAGACGGTCTCTGCAGGGGGTCTGGACGGTCTGGACAGATTGGGGAAGATTTCTCCAACATGTCTCTGCATCCAACAGCTGGGCTTAGGGGGTCATGCTCTGCTGAGGTGACGGTGCATGTTTGTGCATGTGAGTAAGAACGTTTGACAACTCCTGATCCAAATTTTAGCGGCCTTATCAAGAAATCATCCAAAACGATAAATAAACCAGCATTTGGAGAACCTTCCCAAATGACTGAATTCAGCTAACAATTAAGAAATAAGCTTTCAGGAAATTACATTACGACTATGAAATTACAAATATATGTTGTCCAAGACAAAGGTGGGAGTACCCAGATCTTTCAGTAAACGTAGAAATACTAGATTGTAGGAATGCTCTGTTGCAAGTAAAAGTCCTGTATTTACCAAGTTCAAAAGTATTTGAATCAAAATATAATTAAAGTACAAAAGTAGAAGAAGCCTACTCATTATGCACATTTCAGAATACTATCATATGTTTTGATTAGAAATATTGATGCATTTAAGTGTTATCAAAGCAGGTAAAGGTGCAGAATTGTAGAGGGGTGGAAGTAGAAAGTAGCAAAAGATGGAAACTACAAGTCTCTCAAAATTGTCCTTAAGTACAGTGCTTGAGTAAATGTACTTAGGCCTACTTTACACCACTGAAAAGCAGCCATTCATCAGCCACTACTTATATAAAAGGAAGACACAGTACAATTCAGTATGTTACTTGGGTAACATCCACAGAAATATCTACTACAGGCGTGTGTCGCTCATGTTCTGACTCACATCGTGGTTTTGCTTATTTTACTTTACGAGACAACCATCTTTTTCCATCCAGATGTTGAGCCAATGAGGAGCCTCTCTGTTTCCCGAGAAGGAAGGAGGCGGAGGAAGGAATGCTGCAGGATGCTTATTATTATGGTTGTCAAACCCAGTGGCGATTAGATAAAACATCCTTTTTCATGTAAGATTAACGACGATGGTAGGCACCATGTCCGCTGCAGCTGTCGCGGTATGGCTTGGTTCGGGTACGTATCGATTAAAAACTCGGAAATATCCGGGGATTTTCAGTTGTTTTGCCTTTGATGCGGTATCCATTCTAGTTAGCTAGCTAGTTAGCATGCCCCTGTTTAGCTACTGTGCTCATTTTTTCCAAGAGGCAGAGGAGGAGACATAAAAAATGGCTAACAGCAGACAGCTGTACCGTTATACAGCTGGAGTTCCGACACAATATACTGTGCAAAAATGTGCTTTGAAGTAGAGGATTTGTATAACGTCACACGCTGTGTTGTGTTTTATTCAGCTGTAATTACCTTTGAGAGATAGCCTGTTTCCCTTGGTGCAGGCCTGTGTTCATAGACGACCAGGTGTCATATGAATGCCTAATTAGGTAGCTATGCTAGATTAACATTTTAAATTACCCATAATCACCTGGGAATACACATTTGTTGTAGGCAATGACCTGAGTTAGTAGTTTGTTATGTACAATTAAACTAATCCACTTTAATACAACAGCCTTGCAAAAACTATAACCTTTATGAAGTTTATAATGGTAGAGTCATTAATATTGTCAAATGGATTCATACCATAATTTAACGTCCATTTACAATTACAAAATCAGCCTGCTATTACAAAACAACAGATAAAAAAGGATTACACTTATTTATTATTAATTATGTATCATTTTATCTTGTGGTACAACTAACAAATGATTTAATCATCAGGTAATATGTTGATGTTCTTTGACCCTACTTTACTTTTATTTTTACTTTCATTTCACAAAGAAAAGCACCATATCCTCACATTTTAGAAGCTTTTGGTTTCTGAGTACTACCTTTATAGCTGACTATAATACTATTTTTGTAGCAAGGCTGTTGTACTTAATAAACTGGCAACAAACATAATGTGTATACAAACTTGTACCATTCATGCTTTTATTCATTGATCCAATAGTTTTCATTGTGCATGCCTATGATGTCAAACATGACACTTTTCAAGAGAGAAATGCCCATAAGGAGCTATCCATGGGCTTGAAGCAGAGAACAGCCCTGGACAGAGATGGTGAGTGGGTGTGTGCAGTGGTGCACTTCACGTGTTGACCCGCTGTCCCCTCCCCCGTCATAACACAGTGACACGCTCAACTGGTTTCCAAATAATACTGGCATTATTGTTTTCAGTTGTCTGCTGTCCCACAGACTTGGCCCACTTTTGCTGTAACACTTTACTGAATTAAAATGTCTAAACCTTGTCCTCGCTAAAAGTAGAGTTGACCCTGAATCATTAACTTTGAGACAAAGGTAAAGTATATCTTCTATTTAACCTGATACTAGTAATGAACTCATTTACGCTTTTTGGAAAAGTCAGTGATTTGCTTACCTTTTATAGAGCGCTAGAAGGTTAAACTGGCTGTTACATGTCGACCCTAGTCCTAAACAACATCCTTCTGCTTGTTGTGACACAGACTACTTTCACTTCCAGGTCTGTGTTAAGAACAAAGTTCAAAGTCATAATGTGCAGAAAACCAAAACTGGTCCAAACAGTAGCAATCCTTGTTGTATGTGCTCTCCTGCTAAACACCTCCTGACCAAGACAACGTGCGAATATGAAGCTGATTCAACAAAACTAAAGGACATACCTTCTTTGCCACTTCCTCGGCTAGCTTGAGTCCTCAGTTTGCTAAAGCCATTAAAAGGACAATGATGGTTTATTGCCTTATGCTGCCAATGGTGTTCGTAACTAAGGCGTCACTCCTGGGACGTCAGCCGGTCCAAGGTCAGCCCAGAAAAGAAAAAAAACCTGGTCTACTCCTCCCCACAAGGCAGTTATCTACTAATAAGTGAAATTGTTAGTAGTCAGTTTATCAGAATGATGTGCAATGTATAGATATTACTTACATGCCATATGTATTTTGTTCTGCATCAAGAGCTAACAGGTTAGTCTTCAGTGGAGAGT